TGGTCAGTATTGAGGCGGGGGCTGGAGGCGGGGTCAAGCAGCGGGGTCTGAAGCTGGCTGTGCGACAAGGCAGGAAACGGCCGCTCTTGAGCGCACGGCGGTGGGGCCGGCCCACCATATCACAAATTTGCACCCACCGGGGAAGATATACAGGTTGTTGGCCTGTGAGAACTCAAGAGTCACCCCGCGGTAGTCCAGGGGCGGCTGCGGGCTGCCGCTGGCGAACACGCAGCGGCCTTGGGTGGCGAGCACGGCGTCCTCAGCTGTGCACTCCTGCAGAGAGGGGGGGGGTGGGTCGGCCGTGCCGCGAGAGGCTCAGGGCGGGTGTGAGTGTAGGTGCGAGCTGTGACTTGCAAGTGAGAGCAGGGGTGGATGCACCTCGGAACAGAAAAAGATGTGTGGTGATGGGAAGCCCTGGCTCCCGCCGCAATAATTTCTGAGCATGTGTCAAGAAGGGTGACAAAGATTGCTTAGGCCCTGGATGGCCCCGCGCCCGCTGCGCACCGGCGCCTGTTGTGCATGACATGCGCGCTCCTCCGCCCGCCCAGTTTCACATGCGCCACACAGCGGATCATCCCTGTGCAATCCCTCCGATCCAGCAAGTGCTCCAACCATGAGGTGTTTGCGGCTCATCGCCCACCATCTTGATCGTGGGGTTGCTCATCGGGAATATGATCGGCCGCTCGCAGCCCTCCGCCGCGGCCGCCAGCACATCGGGCGCGAACAGCCGCCCCGCGCCTGCGCCGCGCCGGCGGCAGGGGGAAAGGGGGGGGGTGGCAAGCAACCGCGTGCCCGGGCTCAACATGAGCGTGCGTGTGCGCACCTGGTTGGGCCGATAAACCCTGAACTGAGGCTCTGCCACGGTCCAGAATCGTCAAGAGCATAGCAAGCTCCGGATTGCTTTTGAAGGTCCCCATTGACATTAAATCACCCCCCCTCTCCCCCAAAAACAAACATTTATGCAGGCATGCAAGCTGCCCCCTCCACGCAGACACGCAAGACACTGTTGCTTCAGGCTTCGGATTGAAACGGCATTCAAATGCAGTGATCGGCGCGGGCGCACTCACCCGCGAGCCCGAGCAGCACCGTGGGCCTGGCCCTGCGCACGACATCCAGCAGGCAGCTTCCCTCCAGCTCAGCCTCGGGGCGCGCAAAAGGCACCACGTTGCAGGGGATGGCGGGCCTGCGTGCCGGGCCAGGGACAGGCCGCGGCGCGGCAGTGTGGGGCGGTGGCTGGTGGTTGAGAGAGGAGTCGCGGTGGATTTTGGGTGGTGATGGCCGGCAGTTTAATCATTTAAGGACCAAGCGGGTGTGTGTGGTTGTGGCTGGTATTTGAAGAGCGGCTGGTTGGAGCGGGTGCCGAAATGGCTGAGCACATCTATTCCAGGCCTGAGGGATGCAATTTGCAAGTGTGGGGCCGCGAGGGCAGCTGAAAGCCCGCGCCCCTGGGCCCGCCCCTTGTTTCTGCTGACGCGTGCGACCCCTGAAACGACGCACTCCTCCCCTTTGTTTGTCCGCCGGCGCTGCAGCAGCCGGCGTGAGCGATCGAACAATTGCGATGAAGCACGCGCAAAGTCGCCGCTGCAGCAGCCTGAGCCGGTCCGGCGGCGGCGGCTTGTGTTTTTTTTGCATTGATGGGGCGACACCTGGCGGCGGTTATGAGGCCCTTGGACGAGAGCACCCAGAAGTTGCCGCGCGCCTGCTCGGGCGCCGCGCCCTGCGCTTCCATAGCTGCAGGCAAGCAAAAAGTGGCGGAAGATGGGAGCGTTCCCGGTCGAAGACGAGGTGATGGAGGGGAGGCGTCGACGCGGCACGCGCAGCGGCGACGCGTGCGACGGCAGCCATCTGGCGTTCAAGGCCCGCTCCCACCCCTCTTGGCGCCACGCCTCAGCAGTCAGCACCCCAACTGCAGCGCGGCAAGCCGTCTCCAATCCGCCATTCCCTTGATCCACGCCCGCGCATCAACCATAATTGAAGATGAAAAATCAATCACTCACCGTCGCAGATCATCTGCACCACCCCCATCCCCGCCGACCCGGCCCCCAGGCAGACTACCGTCTGCCGCGCCAGGTCAGCGGGCGGCAGGCCCTGGGCGCGCAGGGCGCCGTACAGCCCCGCAACAGCCGTTGCGGCGGTGCCCTGGATGTCGTCCTGTTTGGTGATGAATGAAAAAGAAAAAATGATGAATGGTTGGATGAGCGGTTACATGACACAAAGTATGTTGGGGTGCGGTGGTGTCGTTGGGTAGGAGAGGGTTTTTTGCTATTGTTCGGGTGACTCGTTGCGCAGGCCAGTGGGTCGGACGGGGGGGGGGATGTCAGGGTATGCTCCATGAGCCAGGGCCATGGGGCAAGCATCCTGACAGCAGCGTCGCCCGGAGAATCGGTCGGCAGTGACAAAGGCGGTCTTTCGAGTCGGCGTGATGCGGCGATCAAGGCGGTGTGTGGGGGCCGGCGCCTTCGCGATGGTCGAGCTACAGGCCGTGTGGGTAGGACGCAGCGAAGGGAGTTCACCGCTGCCGCCAAGTGGCCCCGGGAACAACGGGGCGCCGCCCGGTCACGCCCAGGCAGCGGGTCCCCCCCTGCCCCTGCAGCGGCGCGCGGCCCCGCCCACTCACGTTGAAGACGAGGTGGTGCTGGCGGTAGCGCTGCAGCAGCGGCCGCGCGTGCTCTGTCGGTAGCGGCAGACGAGCGGGCGGTCACACTGGGTTCCAGGCAGTTCAGGGTCTGCAGCTTCCCTGCAGCTGGAACGGCAGGCCGGGTGTGCACCTCTCTTCTTTCTCGTCCCTGGTCTTGCTCTCTGCCCTGCAACCCCTCAACTTCCCCCCTCGCCGCACGAACATCTGCATGCCCGCCCAGCCCCAAATTTAAGCGGCGCTCCCTTGCAATTTAAGGGCCGGTGGCCCAATACGCACATCTATCGAGGACCCACCAATGCTGAAGTCCTCAAACTGTAGCACCGCGTTGGGCCACCGCCGCGTCACCGCACGCACAAACTGCCGAGAGGAGGTTTCAGGTGGCGCGCGGTCCTTAAGGTGGCGTCGCTCTGATGCCTGCCACCGCCTCACACTCCCCCCTCCCAGGTGCGCAGGTGCCATGTCTCCAGCGGCCGGCACGCCGCTAGACGGCTCCGCCGCTTGTCAGTGGTGCACGCGTCACCCGACAGCCGGGCGGCCGCGTGTCACCGGGTGACGCACCTCGTCGACGAGGGCGTAATACTCGTCACCCCTGACGCGGCTGCGCCTCAGCCCCACGTACAGGGGGTCACCCAGCAGCCGCTCGTTGTCGGTGCCCTGACGCGTGTATGTGAATGTATGTCGTGGTGTGCGTTGTACCAGCTATTTTGCATAGTAAAATTGCATGTGAGCGCAAATAGGCACGCATCTATATAGCATGTGGAAGTCCACCAATTGAGTTAGAGGGACCTCCCGCTTCATGTTGGCACCCTGGCGGCGTAAACTGCTTGGTTGAGTGAGTTGCAACAGTCAAGCACGGCCCTCGCTGGCAAAGGGGCTGCGGATTTGGAGGGATTGGAAAGGAATGAGCATGCAGTGCACCAACCACCACACACAGTGCTCAACGTACAGGCGAGCGGAACCATCTAAGTGGTGCGCAATCACTGCTGGATACGTAAGTTGCCGGCCCCGTGACTGTTGTGGTTGGCAAGCAAGGGGCCCATTACCCACCACCCACCGCCCACCACGTCGATGATGCAGGGCAGAACCTTGGACGGGTCGAATCCGGCTGCAGCCACATACAGATCTTTGGGGTTGGGGTTGGAGATCGGGTCGAGGGTGCAGGCGACGCGGTGATGGGTGCATACGCTTGTGCGGACCCAGTCACAAGCGCGGCTGAGAATCCAGTGTGCGCGTCACAGGGGCCTCAACGCTGCCATTCTCGCTGGGCCGAGGGCGCCTGGGGGCACCTGGCAGGGGGCATGCCTAGGCAGGAGTCACGCGTCCCAAAGCACACGGGATGATGATTTTGTTGAGGCTGGGGGTCCAAAATATCTCATCACCGACAGCCAAACCCACCCAGCTTGCCGATGGGTATGCCCAGGCCGTTGGCGCCCAGATCACCCAGTCCGAGGATGCGGCTGCCGTCGGTCACCACGATCGCCTGGACATCCTCCTGTGGCACACATCCACATGTGCACGGGCGTGGCGTTGGCAGGGCTCGCAGGCAGACCCTGACTGCTGGCAGCTGTTAGTGGCGCACGCGAAGGGGCACGCCGCGGGCCGCTGGGATCAAGCCTGTGCGCACCAAACACCGACGATGGCGCGTTGCCTGCGCGTCGCGAGTGCACGAACGCGCGCCTGGCGCCAGAAAACTGCTTCAATGCGCGCGTGCGCCACCCTGCACCCTCCCTGCGCATGCCACCCTAGCTGCACGGCAACCGAATAGAGTGCGAGGTCCACCTGCCTGCGGCCAGTGGTAAGCCATTGAGGCCATTTGCCCCTTGTCCTCGCTCGTGAAGAACATGCCTGGGGTTGTTTGGTGACCAAAGCCGAGGTTTAGTAAAATGACGTCATCGAGGATCATCAGGTGGCAAAGACGCGTGAGATGACACGACAGGGAGGAGAAGCCTCCTTGGGCTGGGGCAGGAATGTTTGTTTCTGACGTGCAAGTTGTTTCTGACGTTCAGTGCAAGGCGTAGGTGCCTGAAGTCACTAGATAGTCTGAATGCAAAGCGAGAGGACAGCGCCGTGGGGCTCCACCCCAGGGTGGCGCCACCCCAGGGAGGCGCCACGCAACGGACGCCGAGCGGCGGGGCGGCTGTGGCCGGGGCGCGTGGGAGGGGTACAAGCACAGGGCGTCCGGCGTGATCAGGCGCAAGGCACACCGCGGGGGCGCCGCCAGAGTGTGTGGTAGTTGCTGCAGACCCATCCGACTGTCGGGGTGTACCTGCATGGGGTGGGTGGCAAGGGGGGGGGCAGGGGAGGTACAGTCAGCATGTATACTGTACATACAGTCAACGTGTACAATCAGTGCGGCTGGGGGCGGTGTTGGAGAGAGGATGTGTGCCGGGGGAACGGGGGGAGAGGCGAGGGGAGATGTGAGACGGAATGCGTATGCGTATGGGGGGGGAGGGGGGCGTTCACAATTCGCCAATCATGTGGGTGGCGAGGCGGAATCGGGGCCAGCGGCAGCATGTGCAAGAGCAGGGACGAGCGATGATTAGGGCCGTTACAGTGTCCCGCAGGGAAGGCGCGCCAGCGGCACCGGCTGCTGGTGAGGCGAGTCATACTCTGCTGCGAGGCGGCAGCGCAGCCCGCTGAGGTGACGCGCGGTGACTCATCATAAGCAGTCAGGATTTCGACTCGTGATGACTCACACGATGGGCGCCATGTCCTCAAAGTGCTCCACCAGAACGCGGTAGAACAGCGTCTCATTGCGGTCCTGAGGTTTTGAGTGGTGAGGTTGGTTGGATTGGTTGAGGAGGGTTTCAGAGGGTCAGGACACGACTGAACGCCACAGGGCTCGCTGCGTGTGGACGTGGGGATGTGTTTGAGGGTGGGTCTCTCTGCCCCCATGGCGTGTGTACATACGTCCATATGTGTGCTGGATCATGTGTAAGTGAGATGGGTCTACACAACAACAACCAAAAAAGGTCCCGCCCACGCCCCGTCCGACATGCGGGCAATGGGCTCGGGGGGAGGGGGGTTTTGCAGAGCCGAGTGCCTGCGTTTCGGGGCCCAATGCTGCAGCCCTTGCCGCCTGGCAGCTGGACAGCACCCGGTTGCGTGCCGACCGCCGCTGCTGCGGCACGTGCAAACCACGTCTGGACACACGCGCGCACACACACACACACACACACACACACACACACACACACACACACACACACACACACACACACACACACACA